TGAACGGTCTCTAAGGCATATGAATGTAGCCCAGTACGACCGACTCTAAAGACGAAGATTTCAATAGGCAGCACTGACCGTTCCCCAGAAAGGGAGTCAAATTTCGGGTCGAGTATTGCCCGTGAAACTGGGCCGTTCATTTGTATGGAGCCTCTCGATTGATAGCACTCTCTACAGGAGAACAGAACGCTCGAGTTCTGCGACGGTTGACCCCTGAACGTTATTCGGAGGCAGTCGCCCGCTGGGTAATCCCCAGCGGGGACTGGTTGTATTGGACTTGAAAGAAACGATAGTCTCTGTCAACGAAAAGATTCACTGTTATATCTTAAACCTACACTCAACTAAAGAAGTTGATGAGCGAGGAAACGGAGTACACTCTCTTTCGTTGCGGACGGTTGGGCGTGTCAGGCAGTATGAGTGTCACGTCGTCAAAGCCGTTCTCTGCCTTCTTGTTGAAGCGCGCATGCGACAAAAAGTGGTAGAAAACGAGTAATACGAACGATATGATACAGTCATATCACTTGCTCGCTTTAACAACTGGTGGAGAACGGGTTTGGCACCGCGCCAAACTCATCCCGCCTGACACGCCCAACCGTCCGCAGCGAACTACACTATACCAGGGAAGTGGAAGAATTCTCAAGGTTGCCGTCACGCGCGCTACTGGGTCCACAACTACGACTATTTCACCGTGGAATAAAGAGCGTAGGCCATGGTGCGAATGCCGCGCCCGCAGCGCCACTCGCAGAGTCGCATTCGCAGCGACGCAACAGCGTTGATTTCTCAACCCGGACTTGATCAGAAATCATCTAATGGTTACTTCCTTAAGAAATTTAAAACAGCAAATCACCCAAACCAGAAGCTATCACAGGGATTTGAGTTGGCATCTAGAGCTGTGTTGTTTACTCGCTCACCTCCGGCCTCAGGCAGCCAGTAGGGGTGAAGAGTTGTGTTCAGGACGTCGAGACACTTGCTCAAAAGTCCTTCACGCTTTGGACAACGCATACAGGACCAGCTGTTGCGACACGCTGTGGACAATTCATACAGGACCAGCTGTTGCGCTTGTAACACTACAGAACGCGCTGCATTTCAGGCAACTCAGAGCTGTAAAATCTCAACCTGGGCCCTGCAATGCAGCACTGTTTTGAATGCAAAGCTGGTACCACCGCTGAGACCTTCTTCCCCAATGAATCCCCCACCCCTCCGCCACCTTAATCCCCACCCCCCCCCCTTCCCCTGTCTTGTCAGTGTTGCTTCTAGTGCTTGCTCTAAGATTGGTTGGATTCATAGAAAAGTTTGAAAATCATTTTATATGTATATTTGATTAAGCCGATTAAGATTTTAGCGCATTTTTATTCAATGTGTATCATATGGCAGACATTCTTCGGATTTATAGTAAGTAAGCACTCCTAAAAGAGGTACGATAAGCAATTCCCAGAAAACAAAAGGAATTAATAAAACTCACATTGTTTTTTCAAAAGATATACACTAAAGGTGTCAGACTGTATGGCAGGTAATGGTTTAGGTGGTGCTGATGCTGCACATGATGGTGCCACCTTGCATGGTTGCGATGATGCCACTTGAGATTTCGGTGCGCCACACTGAAACACTGCCATAGCTCAAAATTCGTATAAATTTAAAATGTTAAGGTTTTCAATAGAGTTACTGTAGTGGGGCTGATCGGCACGAAATCCAATCCTAGCAATGCTTTCTCTGACCTCCGGCCTGATATCTACATAGATTCTTAGTCTCTCACTTGACACGAGTGGGAATTTATTTGGAGCGTTTTGCCGGTTTTATCTTCCTTTTTTTCTTCAGGAAGAGACAACTAGCCATGCACTTCTGTTTCTTACCCAGCTATCCTCCAAACCCCTGAGATGCGGTAGGCGTGGCTACGTTCTTCGCGGCGGCTGCGCCTTTGGCGGGATAATTTCATTTCGCAACAGTTGTAAAGCCATCTTTCGCCAGTACAAGAAAGGATGACAGTCTCAAACCGAACTATCACATGACAGGGAGGGGGGGGACGGGGGGCGGGGGCGCAAAAAAGTCACTTTTCCTTCCTTGACTTTCGAGGCGTTGTAAGTTACACTTTATTGAATTCTTATCGGATATTTTCACCACCATATTAAAGAGCATATCAAATACTATTATGATACTCCGCCACAGCCTTCTGGAGGAGCGCCATCGAGAGATTCTGCCACGCGACCGTGAGTGGGTGCCTGAGTTCAGCGAGATCGTTGATTTCTCCGCCACTGTAGACCACCCTATTGAACTCCGCCCGAACCAGGTAATTGAGGGGGTTTGGGTCAGATGACCTGCTTGAATATTCCACCTTCCTCAGGTACTCAACGCTCCTCCATTTCCAAGTAGCGAGAGTATTTCCAGCCGCCCTTTTTGATTCCATGTGGTGTCACCTGAATCCTGTAGCAATACAGTTTCCAAGAACGGTACGGGGAGAATATTCTTTACGAGTTTCCCAATGATAACCGCCAGCGTCACCTTTTAGTTGCGGGCGTACAGCAAGAAAATATTGCGGTCTTACGTCCGGTCCATACCATCAACCCGCGCCTTGGCGACTGCGGTGAAGATGATGTCCTAGACCGTGGCGACGTTGTCGGAGCTGCTCGATGTTGGAGGTCATCCAGATCGAGAGTACTGGTCTCCAGGTAGCTATCCATGGGTGACTCCACACTAGAAGTTTCGCAGCTGTTTGGAGGTGACATGAATTCCAAAGGTCTTCTCCAGTCAGGCTGCGACTGGAGATGACCTTCATATTTGGTGTACATGAAGGTGATGGGCGAGCGCCAGCTCCTGCTTATAGAGTAACAATCCTTTTGGGTATGCCTCGCCCTGGTACTCGTAATCCACATTGTCTTTCTTGGGCCTGCGAAACCTCTTCGCTCTGATATGCTGACTCCGTGAATAATGATCTTTTTTCTTGGCCCCCCCCCCCCTGTATAGCCCATTCTATGCCATGTTTGAATGAAGTATACGGCCACGCCTACTGCGTCTCAAAAATGTGGACTGTAGCTATGCACATTTGGCCTGGCCCATCGCGAAGTCTTCTTCAAAGACTTATTCCGCCATAACGGATAAGCGTAGAAGTAAGCGGAGGCTCATAATCAGTGTGCGTTCTTAATTGGTTTTCGTTGTTATTCACTTCAGCGGAAAGGCGCCTTTTTACAAAGGAATCACACTGGGTAATCGGTCTCCGCCCACCCGTTAACGCCGAATGTGTGTGTTTGAATGCCAATTGACTTCACATTGAACAAGTGGTTTTTACAGTGATCGCGATGGCACACTGAACGATTGCCCCTATGATATTAGCAGAAGTCATGCTTTGTCAGTTTGTGTAAGCTCTTGTTCCGTACCACTGTTCCAAGAGTCGGATGTTTTGTAAAGAGCCCCACTTTTAGAGAGCTTCATGATCATGCAAAACAGCGCGGATCTGTAAACAACGCGACAAAATTCACCGATGGTTTTGCTCCTACACAACTTGCAGTAGGCCCAGTAGGTTTAGCAGTTCCTGTCGCAGGACCACCTCCAGGTTTAGCGGCTGCAGCTGCTCCAGCAGTGCCCGGAGCTTCCATTCCCTAAAGAGAACGGCACTTTTGGTGGACCTCGTACGATAAACTTCACTTCACAGAAGCATGAGATCATTGCTTATCAGTTGTTAGATAACCCCAGAGCCTCAGATAGGGGCCCCGTAACAAACTCTGCCGAACCTCACAGATTTTTACGAAGGCTGCTGGCATTCTCCCTGGTGGCACAGAAGGAAGTTGAATAAACCTCTCCAGCAGCAAGAGGAGTACAAGCTTGCAGCTCGGCTTTTTCCTGCAAACGGAATACTATCACTGCTTGAACAAAATGTGCGCATCGACAAGCAGACCTTCTGAATTTGGGCAGCAGTTTTTCCTTGTATCTGCGCTTGAACCAAAATGTTGGCGCTCTCGATCTGAGCTTGGTGTTGTTTGTCTACATTTTCAGCCCTAGAATTCGCGCTTGTGAGATTCTGTAAGGAAGTAAGTGCCAATTTCAAGTTTGAAATTAGGAAGCACGCGCATGTGGTAACTCCACAGTGCGTCACGTGGCGGTGGTGGCGTGTTGGCCTACGCCGTAGTCTTTCTGGACGAGCTTGTCGTGTTGTGCTCATGGGCTCGTTCAGATTATGAAAGAGATCCATTTCATTGCTGATATGAAGAACCCCCTGTGAACAGCATACACCTCACATCCCGAAGATAGGAAGGGCGTGGCTGCGTACTCCATTTGAACTTCGCGGCGCCGCGCTTGATATCGCCATTTTTGGGTGACTCTAGTTATGTCGTTATACTTCACAAGGAGGATGACAGTTGTCTCGAGGAAACTCTCGAGAAACACGACGCCTTGTTCGGATGAAGTACGCAGTCAAGCCTTCCCCATCTCCGGGGAATGGAGTGTATTCCTTCTTCCAATAACAAGTCTTGTGGATTAGGTACAACTCTGGCACTGCCGCACGACTCACCGCACGCGGCGTCAGTGCGAAATAATGATAAAGACGATCATCGCCACATAGTTGGAGAGAAGTTAAATGGGAAAGGAGGAAGTTCACCTCAGTGGGCGGGGTCAGACTACCGGCAGAGCTCTGGCCGCCTTGCCGATCACTTTCGAATAGCGAAAGCGGCACATCTGATTGTTGATCAGTTTACATTGTGAAACGAGGAGATTACACTTTAAAAACATCGCAGGCTTGGGTTTTCAGTTGTGTGGAGCCCTGAATTCTTAAAGTGAGAGGAATCAGTCCTGTAACAGTCCATCCGCCGGAGGATACAAAACCTTCGTAACGTAAGGATCCGCCCGCTTTAGAGCGTGCAGGAATTGGCTTCGAGTATCATCTTGAACCACAAGCCCTACCCGCAGCCCCAACGCGGCGTGGGCGGCGTGAACGGTTTGGCTGTTTCTTCCAACACCGTAGCAATGCGGAGGGTGCCACGTCAGAGCCTGGCGAGCTACGTGTGGTTAAATTTCTTCTCGCCAAAAACAGTAATAATTATGGGCCTCAATTCCCCTAAAGCTTGAGGGAACCACCGACAGGGCGACGTCGGCTGGGACCGCTCGGACGAGGCTGCTAGAATCACAGGGCCAACGGAGATTTAAGTCGCCCAGGACTAGGATGACGATCTGTACTTTCAACGCACGGACGCTTGCATCGGAAGCTCACATCGAAGATCTGATGTTGCAAGCCAGGAAGATCAAGTACGACGTCATCGGACTGACCGAGACGAGGAGGCATCGCCCGCTACACGCCGTATACGAGACTGGAGAACTGTTCCTCGGAACATGCGACAGCAGAGGCGTTGGCGGTGTGGGCGTCCTCGTCAACACGCACTTGGCCATGAACATCGATTCGTACGAAAATCTGACGACCCGAATCGGGACGTTTGCGATTGAGAAGATGTGGTTCAACTCCAGCTTTGACAATCTTCGTCGCCTACGCACCAACATCAAGCTACGACGAGGATGAGTTCTATATGGAATTGGAGAAGTTCTACAAGGAAGATCATACCTTCTTCAAGGTCATCGTCGGTGATTTCAACGCTAAGATCGGACCAAGAAGAACGGCTGAAGAACTTCACATCGGAACTGGAACGGAGTGGAATGAGCAGGGTGAAAGGCTGTCTGAGTTTATCATGTCGACCCGCATGGTAACTCGCAGTTCCAGAAGCCCTACTCTCTACGCTGGACACGAGAGTTTCCTGGTGGACAATTCCATAATGAGATCGACCACATCATCTTCAATCGAAGGTTTTTGCCGACTGTTGTTCCTAAATTCTACGCGGGGATCCGACCACCGTCTCCTTCGCGCAAGATTCCGCTTTTCGATGCGAGGAGAGAGAGCCGCAAAGTTCAAGAAGCGAAGCCCCAAGACCGTCATCAACTGGGATCACTTCACTTCTCTCGCTGGGCTCTGGGAGGATTCCGTCATCGACAACATCGACGAGGAATACGAACGGCTTGTTGCACATCTTCACGACTGCGCCAAGAAGTCAGAGTTCCAAGATTACCAAGAAGCGTCTATCTCTGGAAACCTCGAGCTGATTCGCCAACGTGGAGCCGCACGACCGCAGGCAATTACCAGCTGACGTCTGAAGCTTGCGAAGCTATGCAGAGAAGCGATAAAGGAGACCTCAGGAGAGAAGAGTAGCAGCAGTACTGGTGGAAGCCGCAGAGGCTGGGAAGAGCATACGCAACGCCCGCCGCGACTTCGCCAACTGTAAGACCAAGATGACCGCCCTCCGACGTCCGGATGGAACAATCACCGCATCCAGAAGGGCAATGGAGAAGGTCATCCACGAGATGGCGTGTCGGGATCGGGTTCTCCCTGATCCGACACGCCATCTCGTCGTAAGGATCGTACGGCCATCCGGTCCCGACAAGGATCAGGACCCGAACATCTGAAGGAATCCTTCCCGGAGCCTGTGCGACACTTTGGCAATGTATCGCCCCACTCTGCGCGCTGTTGTAGTCTACAAACTCTTCACACGAGTCATCCTGAACAGGATTGGCAGAACACTAGACGAAGGACAGCCATGCGAGCAAGCAGGGTTTCGAAGAGGATTCAGCACGATCGATCACATCCACACGGTAACGAAGCTCATCGAAGTATCGCGAGAGTACAAGATGCCGCTATGTCTCACGTTCATCGACTTGAAGAAAGCCTTCGACTCCGTTGAGCAGAAGCGGTTATTCGAAAGCCCTGGGCAACAGGGAATTCCTACTCAGTACATCAGGATTCTTCGTGAGCTCTACAGCAACTTCGACCAAAATCTCACCATTCTACAAGGAGATCATCATCGACGTGAAGAGAGGGGTCCGACAGGGCGACACATCTCGCCCAAGCTCTTCAGCGCCTCTCTCGAGAACGTCATGCGTCAACTGGAATGGGAAGACATGGGAGTGAAGATCGACGGTCGGCAACTACACCATCTCCGCTTTGCTGACGACATCGTTTTGATAACACCAAACATCGAGCAAGCGGAAAATGCTGGCTGAATTCGACTGCGCGTGTGGAAAAATCGGTCTACGCTGACTAACGAAGACGTTGTTCGTGAGAAACGGATTGGTTTCTGATGCCCCATTCACGCTCAACGGAACGACCATCTCTGAATGCTCTAGCTATGTGTACCTGGTCGTGAAATCAATATGATGAATGACTTAGCACCAGCTGAGCAGGAGGAAGCGAGCGGCTTGGGGAGCCTTCAAGAACATCGAGGGAGTAGCGAAGAAGACGAAGAACACCAAGCTCCGTGCCCACCTCTTCGATTCCGCGGTCCTTCCTGCCTTGACTTATGCCTCAGAGACTTGGACTCTACGAAAGCAGGATGAGCATGCGGTTGGCGTTATTCAACAACGCATCGGAAGGGCATGGAGTTCCCGCTACACAAGCTGAGAAGAGAATCCGGAGCTCCGCACTCCGCCGACGATCGAAGATCAGAGACGCCGCCGCATTTGCCAAGGTTTCGAAGATCAGGTGGGCCGGACACGTCATGCGTTTCGAGGACGACCGCTGGACCAGAGCGATCACCGACTGGATTCCACGGGATGTCAAGCGAACGCCTGGACGACCGCCTATGCGATGGTCAGACTTCTTCGTGAAAGCTCTGAACGAATGGTATGAAGTTCATCGTGTCCCTCGAGCAGAGAGAGTTCATTGGGCAACTCTTGCACGTTGCAGGGACGAATGGAGACGTTACTGGCGATGGAATTTTGCGGGTGCGGGGCAATTGTAATGCGTCTTTGCTCAGACACAAGAGAGGGTGGCAGTTATCACAAACGGAAATATTCCATGAAAGACGCGACCTACGCCATTTTCAATTCAGTAACGCAACCGTACCCTCCTTGCCACATTTCCAGGGTATGGATTGTGAACTAGGATGAGTGATCAGATTTCGACGAAGTTTTCACACTCTAGTTCGCTGCGGACGGTTGGGCGTGTCAGCCAGTATGAGTGTGTCACCCCGTCAAAGCCGTTCTCTGCCTTCTTTGAAGCGCGCATGCGACAAAAAGTGGTAGAAAACGAGTAATACGAACGATATGATACAGTCATATCATTTGCTCGCTTTAACAACTGGTGGAGAACGGGTTTGGCACCGCGCCAAACTCATCCCGCCTGACACGCCCAACCGTCCCCAGCGAACTACACTTTAGGTGAACAGTAGTGAAGACTTCATGTCTATTGAGCGAGGAGGGTTTTGGGAACCACATGGCTGACGGTGGGGATAAGGATAATCATATCCATATCCTCTCGTAGATTCACAGTCTGATTCGTGGCGGATGAAGGGGCGTGTCAGGGGGGGGTGGGTTCGGCATGGCGCGAAATTCTTTTCCACCAGCTGTTAAAGCGAGCACAGCAAAAAACCGTATCATATCATCGTATCAGTCGTTTTCGATCAATTATTGTCGCTGACTAGCTTCAACAACTGGTAGAGAAGTGGTTTGCCGCCGCGCCTAAATCCCGTCCTCGGACACGCCCCCTTCATCCAAACTATACAGGTGACTAGGGGAACATGTGGTTATTTCACTTAGAGAGAGAATAACATATTAAAATTAGGTATCGCACTTTGCAACTGCTGGAAGACTGGTGGTGGTGACGACGGTTGTAGCCCACACCTCTTTAACAAACACAGGTTCGCAGTAGTTACCCTGAAATGAAGCTCAGTTGAAGTGGTGCTGACCTCAGGACACTCATTCCTGCTAATCCTCTTCAGAAATCACTTATCATGCCTACCTGTACGACCGTACCGACGACTTTCTGATTAGCACCTGGTACTGCGCTGGAGTGCACCACCATCTGTCTACCGGTGTTTTTCTCTTCGACCACTTTACCTATCACACATCCTGGAGCCACTTTATCGTTCGGTGTGGTCGGAACACATTCGGCATCTATAATATTCTCAATCAGAAGTTACGTAGGGAAGTAAACATGGGGAAGCCGCCTGGATGACTACAATCGCGTGGCGAAATGAGAAGCGAGGTAGTTAACCACAGTGGGGCCAAATGGTAGTCGGGACACATTAACAATGAGGTTCTTTATTGAAGAAGAGTCTACGGCGTATGGTAGGCTGACCTACAAGCTGGATCGAACCCATAAGGTAAACACTAGAAGTATGCTACTTCCATCAGTGCACTTCATCACGATCTTCTTCTTCTTCTTCTCCCTAGCGTTAGTCCCGCGCCGTCGCAGGGTCCGCTGTTCTTGTTAGACGTCGCCACTTGTTCCGATCCACTGCATCTTCTGCCGTGGCTTTCACTTCAGTGAGGTCCTTCTTGATGACGTCCCTCCATCTTTTCTTTGGGGCTCCTCGTGGTCGCTTGCCCTCTACTTCGAATTCCAATGCCTTCCTTATTGGGTGGTCTTCAGGCCTCCTCAGTACGTGCCCATACCATCGCAGTCGCTGCTCTCGTGCCTTCAGCTGGATCGGAGCCGTCTGTGTGACCGCCCTGACGTCCTCGTTTCTGACACTATCGTGTCCAACCGCAGGCCATCACTTCATCACGATGCGCGCAGAAATGAGGCTGGAGCATAGTGGAAGTCGACTGCTATTTGCGTCTTCACAGACGTCCACAGCGTTCGCGTTTTGAGGTTCCGGGTTCCGCGGCGAACAACATGAAGGGCAAGCTGTGTATCGCGGCCAGGTAAAGAAAACAACAGCTCTTCAACCTTACGGGAGAGGTGCTGACAAGTAGCAAGATTAGCTCGACAAATCATATGGCTGACAGTGTACGTGTCCCGTGTCAGCGCGCGGGTGGAGCCCCAAATGGCATACGGTTAACACTTGCCCTCCAGCCTCATTCCCGTGCGTTTTCGAGTGGCAAATGAGGTACTCTTATATAGCTGCAAACCTATTCATCTCACTCATAGCAAGTACAAGAATCCTCGAAAGGTGAGTGTACAACATATCTTCAACCCCCTACAAAATGTCGAAGAGTTGGGTAGTACCGGCCCTGATTT